TTGGAAACAAATTATTTTTCTTAGAAATTGACGTGCCCGAAGTAATTAAAGGCTATATATAAGCTTTTAAGGTCATGGAATAAACTAATAAATATGTTTGTACATTCCTTATGATTTAAGTAAAATCCAAGAACAGAAGGTTCAGAGTAGCACTTTAAGAGAGAATTTAAGCTGAATTACTGGAATGGGAAAAAGATTGTTTCTTTTAGACTTTATCTTGTAATTGCAAATTTCAAAGCAGAAGTCTTCAACTTATTTTACTGTCTGAAATTCATTTGGACTTATTAAGAAGATTCTCCATTGGGTGCTGTGTATCCTGATTACCTTTTTGGATTCTACAGAGACCATAATCAGACATTGTCATTTGTATTTTTTTCTGCCATAATTTTCTACCATTGTAGTTGTGAAGGTCCTTTTATGTTGAGTCTGTTTCTAAGTAATTTAATACTTTTCAAGGTAGTTCAAAGTATTATTCAGATTGAGGAATCAGGAGCCTAATTTGCCATTTTTGTCTGAAACTCAAAGATTTCAGTCCCCTAGACTTTAAAGAAAGCTCATCCAGCTTTCTTTTTGTTAATTGAAATTAAAATGTGTACTTTTTTTATATTTGATTTAGTGAACAAAAGAGTATATTCAGTGAGAAAAGAGTTACGTGGGAGAAATTCCAAGGGTTGAAATTTTATATTTACCCTTTTATACTTTGTTATATCATATAATCTTTTTTTTAAGGACAAAGGTAATATTAAATGTTTGCTTACTTTGATAATAAACATAAGGGGCCGGCCCAGTGGCTCACTCGGGAGAGTGCGGTGCTGATAATAAACATAAGTATAAGAACTAAAGTAAAATATCAGATAAAACTATGACTTATAATAAATAACTATTTATGCAAACAGTCCCTGACTTAATGATGGTTTGATAATGATTTTTTGACATTATGATGGTATGAAAGTGACATGCATTCAGTAGAACCTGTACTTCAAATTTTGAATTTTGATCTTTTCTTGCGCTAGACATATGCTGTATGACTCTCTATTATTCCCGTTTATAATGTGTCTTTTTTCTCTGTTTTTAAGGTTTTCTCTTTATCTTTAGTTGTAAGCCTTTTTGTGGTTATATTATTTTCCTATTGCTGTTATAAACAAATTGCCACAAACAGTGGCTTAAGACAGCACAAGTTTATTATTTTACATCTATGGAGTTCAGAAATCGGAAATGATGGGCTTTGTTCCTTCTAGAGGTTCTGTGGGACAATTCGCTTCCTTGTCTTCCACCTTCTACAGGCTGTCCATATTCCTTGGCTTTTGGCCCCACATTTCTGCAACCTCCGTTTCTATTCTCCCATCATCTTCTCTGACTCTGATTTTCCTGCCTCCTTCTTTGCCTTCTAAGGGCCCTTGGGATTACATTGGGCCCACTCAGGAAATCTAGAATAATCTCCCAATCTCAACTTCTTACTTGACTGTCACCAGGAAGGGACCTTATGCCATGTGAAGTTTTCATAGTTTCTGGGAGTTAGAATGTAAAGCATCTTTTTGGTGGTTGTGGTGGTGAGCATTATTCTGCCTACCATAATGGTTTTCTTTGTATTTATCTTCTTTTAGGTTCACTGATCTGCTTGGACATAAAGGTTGATTTTTTTTTTTTTTTTTAATAAATTTGGGATATTTTTATCCACAGATTTTCTGTTCCATTCTCCCTTTCCTTTGCTTTGGGCATTCAATTACGTGTATTTTAGTTTGCTTATTTTTATCTAACAGACCATAGAATAAAATATCTCTCTTTTCAGATAGGTAATTTTTATTGATCTATTTTCTTTTTCATTTACACTTTTTTCTGCAGTGTCCAACTTGCTTTTAAGTTCACCAAGTGATAATTTTAATTTTTTATTCATTATGGATCACTTTTTCTTGCTTCTTTGCATGTCTCGTCCTATTGATTATATGTTGAGTAGATGATACATTGTAATGCAGTCTGGATTATGTTTGGTTGTGATCCAGCGTGTACTGATTAGCACATTCAGTTCTCCATTTCTTGTCTCATTAAATACAAAAAAGTAAGTCTAATATAGATGACAAATACTACTAGCCCCATGTAAAAAATAATCCATAGGATCTGTTTCTTCTAAGGTTTATACATATCTATTTAATCCCATTTCTCTAGCATATAATGTTGATCCTGTCACTATAGTAACTCTCTCAAGATATTACAGATTTTAGAGGAATGATTGTCTATATAACTAGTTTAAAGCATAGATGTGGACTTTTTTCCAAACTGCACCATTGAATCCCAGGCTAGATCTTCTTAATGGCTGTAAGACTTAACAGGCCCTATAAATTAGCTGATAACAGTGCCACTGCAAATTATTTAAGTAAAATTTCTCATCTTGGTGACTAGCATAGTTTCTCAAATACCACAAAAAAATGTGTGATAGCTTCATTGAGGATATTTAATACAGGAGACTAGTTACAGGATGTTAGAAGAGCTGAAAAGAGGGCAGTTCATAGATTAGCAGTCCATAAATCAGTAACTGCAGAAAGTCTCACCTCTAGGGTTAGAAGGACAAGGAGAAAAAATGTTATTAGTACCAAGGAGCCCAGGCTGCAAGACAGGCAGCCTAGACCAATCTGAAAGATAATAAGTAAACATGTCTTACATACATTTCAAAAGTACTTATACCATGGCTTGTTTCAAAAATAATTTAATGTGGCTGTGCTAACAGTAGAAACTTTTAACCTTAAAAGCTACTTACAGTAGTTTCTCTGTTGCCTGTGAAATGATCTTGGATTGCTTCTGAAATGCCAGGAGGGCTGGTGTTGAGAGTTATTTAACTCTACCTGTCTGTAGTATTCGTTACTGTTTTATTTGTAAGGCTGAGAAGGTGGCTTAAAAGTGTTCTCGAATACTGGATATACCTTCCAGTACCAAGGGTTGGAAGTTATATAAGCAATTTTTGGTTCTGTTAGACTCATAAGAATAAGTTCTTACCTTGCAGGTTCTACATTTTTATCTGTCATTAGGCCAAGTCAAGACTGGAAAAAAAGAGAGTAAAATAGGACTTTTTTCTAATGGATGAAAGGTGCAGTTTTGCCAGGTAAATGTTGGGCTGAAAAGTTCAAGGGAAATATGTTGGAAAAGTTTTAGAGATGAGACAGTGGCTTAAATTTATAGATTAAGCGAAATGGATAGTTTAAGTATAGCCAGGAAAATTGTCAGCTAAACAGTAGAGGGCTCAGGTAATAGCCCAAAGGAATTTTAGTAAATTCTTTTATTGTCCTACTAATTGGATAAAACCATGTGTAAAGCACACAGTAGAGTGCAACATTGAAGGTCTTCAATAATGGTAACTATTTTGCAGTTTCTGTTCTATTTTCTTTTCCTCCTTTCTGTCCCTTTGTTTTTCTTTTCTTTATTTTTGGTCACTTTCTATTGTTAAAATAAACACAAAAATAATTCAAAACATGAGATAAATACAGCTATCTGGCAACCAAATAAGTGGAAATTGACTTCATAAAAATCTCAATTAATAAGGTGTTTCCCCGCATTCATAGAAATGAGACGTGTGGCAACAAGCTAATAGTACATGTGTTTTTTTTTTTTTTGTAAGAGTAAATCTTTCAGATTTTGAGCTAGAATTAGTATTTTACTATTTTTTAAAGTTTACTTCATTGTAAATTAATTATGCTCAAAATGCATTATGATATAACCTTTTTGAAAAACTACTTGGCAATATCTACTGAAGTCAAATGTATGCCTAAACTTCGGACATAGCAATTCTGCTCATTTGTATGTACCCAAGAGAATGTGCATGTAGTAAAAGATATGTACAAGAAGTTTATATCAATAATCCCAAACTGAAAACAACCAAATGTTTACCTGAAGAATGAGTAAATATTATTTTCTATAATAATCAGTGAAACATAATGGTACATACTATATGTACATACTATATGATTTATTTTATATGAAGTTCAAGTTTAGGCAAAATGAATCTATGGTGATAGAAGTCAATAGTGGTCACCAATTGGTTGGTGGGAGGAGGGTAATAGATTTGGAAGGGGCACGTGGGAACCTTTTGGTTGTTATAAATTTTGCAAAGCTTGATCTGGATTGGAGATTCACATATGTGTATAAAAACATTCATGAAGCTGTATAATAAAATTTGTGTATTCTATGTATGTTATATATCAAAAGTGTATAATTTCATTATCCCTGAAAGAATAAGTGATACTAAATACATTTATTTTTACTAAGTCAGGGAAGTAATACTAATTTGTTGCTCTTAACAATAGATTTTTAACGTTGGCTTAAATCTCCATTCTGTGGCTACCACGGTGAACTGAGCTCTTACTATGTTCGATTTTAATCCTCAAAGCTGCTTTACTTTCCAGAATGTTTTTAATTGACTAGTCGATATTATTTTACATATCACTGATCTTATACAGGTTAGAAATAGCTTGAGGAGCTTTTAGGTAAAAAGGGAAAGCCTATTCACGTTTGAAAATTAACCAATGATGGGCTGCATATTTAAGAAATAGATAAACGCAATTTAGAAATTAGTAAACTGTACTTTATCTCTTTATATTATTTTTGTCCTATTTATATTTGTTATTAGAAATAGATAAGGCAAAGAAAAACCTTAGCATTAAATTAGATGATTAGATTTAGATCGAAAGTACATTCAAGTGAAAAGTGGTTATCAAGGGGAATTTATGGTAAAACTCATCAAAAGTCTAAATTAAATTAAACTTAATTAATTAATTATTTTTTTTGTTTTAACTTCTTAATATACATTGTAGTTGATTTTCATGACCCTTTAAACGTTTTTAATATTTAGCTTATTTGTACTGATGGTTTATCCAAGTTTTCTGTTATACTGATGGCTAACTAATTTTACTATGTTTCTCGAGGGCCCTTTGATCATACGCCAGGGGCTTGGTGTTTCTAGCTTTCTTAACCAAAACTGACTCCTTGCTCCCCTTTGACACGTGTATTTACAGGCTGCCCTGCAAGTCGGAGGCCATGGAGAAAGGCTGCATCAGTGTCGAGAAGTCATGCTTCTAACTTACAAATCCATCCCCATGCAAGTGGATGGGGAGCCCTGTCGGTTGGCACCAGCTATGATTCGGATCTCCTTGAGGAATCAGGCCAACATGGTACAGAAGAGCAAGAGGAGGACATCCATGCCTTTACTCAATGAGTGAGTCTGCTCCTTGCCTATCTTGCTTAACATGAAGACCTTGGAGAGGAGAATGCAGAGCATGCGCCTGGTCTGGGGACCTTACTCAGCAGTTCCTTGGTCCTTCTCATGGGAGCATACACGTTTTCTTCTCCACGTTTATGATACAGTTACCGCACCCTTCTTTAGAAATTATTACTGTATGTGAGATAGATGATTCTTCTTCACTGACCACTTGAGTATATATTTACTGGACTTTTCAGAAAATCATTGAGAGTGATTCTAGGGTTGTAAAATGTGTCCAGATAAGTATGTTCTTTTTTGCTTGGGTTTTGGGAGGCCTGTAGTTAGCCTGCTCTTTTACTCAGGTCACATGGAGAGTGTTGGTTTCTGCAGTCACAGGAGGTGGGCAGAGCTGGTTTGTGGCTCCCCTCTGTCCATATCACGTCCCTCTATGTTAGTCATTTGTCCTTTCCTGATGTTCCCATTTTGGGGTCCTGCATACTCCGGTGCTTCAACTCCGTTTTGTCTTTGTGGGAAGCATCCTGTTTTCCAGACTTAAACTGACCCACTATTTCTGCCCCTAAACATGTGGTATCATTCCTAGACTCTTTCCTTTCTTAGGAGTTTTGATAAATTGATTTGAGGGAAGGCAATGATTATACTTAGAATACATATTCATTTAATAGTGTACCTTACTCACAACTGGTGATTTAAATGTCTATTTGGAGTTGGAGAAGGGGAAGGAAAAAGAATGGGATTTTTTGGCATCTTTTTGAGTATCTTCTATATATCATGCCCAAATGTCTAAGGCCATTTCAGGGCTTAGCCTTGGGTCATTCTACGTCACAGTGAGGGACCCTCGAAGCTGCTCCTTCTGTTTGTAGCCTGTGACACATGGTTACCTGTTTGTACTGAGTGGCCAGCTTCCTTGCAGTGCCTGTAAAGCAAGGGTGTGCTTTGCCATGCATTTATTGAGTCAATGTGACAGTGTACAGACGTGCCTAGAATAACCAGTGACACACGCACAGCAGCTCACTGCCAACGCTTTACTTCACCTCTCTTCTGTGGTGGCATGTGCTGAAGAACAGCATTAGACAGTGCTCTCAAAAATGTCTCAGTGTTTGGAATCTGCTTCTAAGTTTAAAACTGGGGTGAGAGACCCACTCTATCTTCTTCTCCTCTCCCAGAGTCTGGACTTGTCTGGAACTTTTCCTAAATCACTTTCCGGAGGTGTTTTTCCATTATGTTTCTTGCTTTGTTTGTGTTCTGCAGATAGTGACACTCGGAGCTCAGTCCTGATGTTTTCGGTTCTCCCTGCTTTTTACCTCATGTTAGGTTGAATACACAATTGCTGAGTTTATAGGTTAAAGAAAAAAGTGGGATGTCAGCAGCTGTATATGGTTCATCAAATTCCCTCTAGAAATGTTAGAATTAAGCCATGAACCATTGGTTTGGCAGAAATCTGTGAACTAGTGAGTGAAAAGTTACCTCTGAAATTCTACTGTAGCCTGTGTTGTCGGGTCACTTGCTGATAGTTTGTTAAAAAATATAATAAAGCTAAATGTCTTTACTCTTTATAGGCAAAGAGCTCACAGTCTCATGCCTGGTACTTCTATTTTTAATGACCTTATCAAACATGAAATTGTTAGTTGTCGGGTCACTTGCTGATAGTTTGTTAAAAAATATAATAAAGCTAAATGTCTTTACTCTTTATAGGCAAAGAGCTCACAGTCTCATGCCTGGTACTTCTATTTTTAATGACCTTATCAAACATGAAATTGTTATCAGGTGTTTAGTTTCAAACAGCTCGTACCCTTGTGTTGAGAAAGAATTTGTGTTTGCTCAGTAACCATATCGTTAAGAATTCATTTGAGCCTTTATTCACATATAAAAACAACAAATATAAATAGATTTTTTCTTTTTGTACTCATGGTACATGTGACATATGATGTCATTTCTTGTACTTAGCTGTGCAGGTGTAGAAACAGCCTCGACTCAAAAATACAGTTACTTACTTCCTACCAGGGGTAGCAGGGCCTTTGTCAAAACAGCTATGTGAAATGGCAGTAACAGTTGCCTTCCAGTTTTCAAAAGAACATTTATAAAACTTAAAACCTAACAAAGATCTGTATTAGTATGAAAAATTTGCATTAATACTATTAGAAATTAATACAAAAAGGAAAAAAAAACCTCAAAAACCTAGCTACCACTGTAATACTTGCTCACTAATCCTTAATTTCTCTCACTCTGATCTTACTCACCCTTTGCTATTAGCTTGTTTTTTTCTATTTCACTAGGGATTCTAGTTATAAAATATAACTTCTTCCACTGGATTTCCAAGTAGAGTTTCAAGTTTAAGGTCAGCCTTGCCTTTAAGACCTTTCTGCAAGTTTTCTTTAACCTTCTGAGTCCTCCAAGCTTTTCTCTGCTTTGGCCATCATTGTGCAACATTCACTGTTCCCTCCAGGAGAGAAAGAGATACTTGGAAAAAAATTTTTTTTATTTCCTGCTTTCCTTTCTTTCTGCCTACCTGTTTTTCCTCTTCCTCCCTTCCTTCCTTCCTTTTTACTGTTCCGTCTGCTTCATTTGCCTGTCTTCTTTCTTAGTAGAGGAGAAAGAAAACCAGTTTAAAATGTCTTTAAAAACTTGTGTGTCTGTGTGTGCGTGCATGTTTCCAATAAGAAGAAGGTAGCTGCTCAGTTCATCCTAAGGAATTAGGCTCCTTTCACACAGCATGTTAACTGGGAATATTTGAGATATAAGTGCTGTGGCTCCCTAAACTGCCATTTTCTCACTTGAACGCCGGCATTCCTCATGGATCTATCCTTTCTCTGGGAGATTGCATCTCAGATCTGTGTCTTCAGCTCACACTTCCTTCTAAAAATTGAAGACTCGTACCGAAATATCTTTGTTGACATCTTTATTTTAATATCTCATAGCAATCTCCAGCTACATGCTAAACACTGGACTCATCAACTCTATTTCCTTTGCTTTTCCTCTGCACTGACCAGTGGGTCTGTTCCATTCACATTTGGCTAGCTACTGTGTTCTTGGAAATCTGCTTCGATTTATGTCCCAAATCATTAACTCTCACACTATCTGTCCTCTCTGCTAGTGAGATGGCTTTAGTGCAAAGGTTGTGCGTGTTACCTCTCAGCAGCATTGCTAAAACATGCTCATAATTCACTTCCTTGCTCCGTTCCTTCTGCCCTACACACAGTCTTTTTCCAATACACCAGTTAGAATGATCTTTCTAAAAAGGTAAAGCCTATCTTCCTTAGGTTTATGGACCTTTTTGATCGCTGCCTTCTTCATGCTCATGGTCCTGTGCTCCAGAGAGGACCGCTCTCCTGCAGCAGTGCCCGTCTCCTGCGTCAACATGGTTTTGCTCAGTTGCTCTTCTGAGGTGCCCTGCTCACGTCCTCCTCGTCTGCTGACTTGCTCACAGTTCACGACTCCACTGAAATGCTGCTTTCCCGAAGAATCCTTTTCTATCTTCTTCTAGTTGTTAGATGCACCTCTCGGTGCTGCTGTAGTGCTCTTGGTTACTTCCATCACAACGTCGATGAAAGATCGCGCACTTACTGGTTTACTTGTCTCTCTGCTCTGCGGGGAGGCCGTGGAGTTTTCCTCTTAGGATCCCCAGTGCCTGTCATAGTTCCTGAAACACAGTTACAGTGACTCCCGCGTGAGTCAGATTTATAATACTATCTCTGCTAAGTTTCTCAGAAATTAGGTCTAAAATAACATAAATCTAAAATCTTTGAACGTAAAAATGATATAAAACTTGTCTTAATCACATTTTATTATAAGTGGAAGATACATATTTAATAATTTCAAGGTATAGTTCACTTGGACAGGTGGAATTTCCATGACAAATAGTTAAATAGTAGATCTTTATGATACTCCTAAATCTTCATGTATGTAAAAAGGCAAAAATAATGTTTTCTAAAAAATTATTTCTTGACTTATAATC